TATATATATATATATATATATATATCAATTAATGAGTCATCACCAGCGTAAGCTCCTCACTTGCGGTGGTGCCGATGTGCGCAAACAACATTCCTGATCAGCTGTCCCTGCGAGCTGACGAGGGATCCCTGATAACATCGGTGACGTATAGCCTATATCGTGTTCACCTTCGCTGACGCTGGGCAAAGTGTCTGGTAGCGTCTCCTTGATCTGGATGACCATGAAGCTACACGCCAATGTAGTTTCGACGACAATTCGTTCGGGTTAGGTAGTAAGTGACTGGGTGGCAACTTACAAATTTTCTGCCGCTTATTTTGCTCGCTAGCTAAATTTTTCACAAGCACACATGTGCTACATTGGCTCAACCACGGAATACTGGGTTGTAGCTTATCAGAATATTTTCGCCCATATCCGACCTCTGTCTTTAATTGAGCTCAGAAAGGCCAATGCTTTGTTCAGTTGAGAGAATAAGCTAATGCTGCAGCTGAGTGAATATGTCGCCTAACCGTATGCGTGTGCATATGCGTGCCCTGCATAACCCTTTGTCTGTCGTAAATGCCATCGGGTACAAGCGTAGTTTCAACTACTGTGGTTTTTGCACTTGCAAGAACCATGGTAGTCTTCCGACCCCAAATATAAACGGTTTTGTTCTCGGAGTATCGGTTTTGCTTTTTCAAAAACATTACCAAATACCAACCGCTCGATCCATCGGCCTTTTAACGCAGAGGACATTTGTAATGCATAAATTTGCAATAACAAGATTATGTCCCGCTTTCGTGTCACCATAGCTGGCGCTAGACTGCCAGCCGTTTCATTGGAGGCGCTAGCAGCCGCAGCTCACCAACCGGTGCCGGAAGCAAGCGGCCGCCGGTCGGATGGCGGCTAATGGCCGGCGTTTCGTGACGCCCGCGTGATGTTGGCAGGCGGCGGGGGTCCGGAGCTGTGTCGCACCTCATCCGTCAGGGCGGCCGCGCTGCGTGCCAACGAGCCGGGCGGGCTGCACCGGCGGACTGGGTTCTTCCCCCACCCCTGACCTATAACCACGGCTGGGTGGGGCGGGGGGGGGGAGGGGGCGCCCCGGGACGTCGGCGGCGTGCCGGCCCCCCCCGGCCTGCACCGAGCCGACGGCCCGGTGCCGAGTCACGCTGGTGGTGATGACGCTGGTAATGATGACACAGAGCAAACCTGTCCTTAAAGCCCCCATATCGATATAGGAGACGGGAAGGAAAATTAACGCACTATGCTCTGCCCATTCGTTTGCGCCCAAGCGGCGCTCCTGGCACGTGATTAAGTGTGTGACGGGTCTGAGAGCGGTGGGCGCGTCTTTGGCTCTCCATTACCGCAGAACGGCTGCCAGCGGCCAAGGAGGTCGGCCGCATCCTGGGCGCAGTAAGCACCGAGCCGTACTGACGATTGGGCCGCGTCACGTGGTGGCTATGCTGACGCGCACCACTCATCACATCAGCCTCACTCCAAGCGGGCTAGGTCGCGCTGGCAACCTCTGCACACCATCGACCAACGACAATCACCAGCGGCTTCAGAGTGAAGGGTGGATCACGGCGCGTAACGGTGTGCGCCGGGGGATGGGGGGGGGGAGGGGTCGAAGACATGCTTGCGCGTAATGGCCACACTGCTAGATATGAACGTGGAGGAGGGGTTTGTAAGGGGCGCGAAAGATTAAGCTCCACTGTTATGTCATCGTCGGAGAACTAAGCAGCAAGTCTTGTGGTGCTTGGAAATATAACAGTCAATAGCACAGAAGCATGTTCTTCATCCACGTTGTGTTGGTTCCGGACAACCAATATCAACAAAAAGCGGCCGTGGGAAATACAGCTCTTCAGATTGCAGAAATCTGCGGATCACGGATATATCCTCCAATTGCATGTATGAGATTCGAAAGCTCGCAAAGTCGTGGGTAAGCACCGGACCGGATTTTAAAATCGCGCTCACTGCGGCTAGGCTTTTTGCAGAGCAAATCCCTGGGGGGGGGGGGGGGGGGGAGGGGTGAGCGTCAGTCTAATTCCGGGTAGCATGAAAGCAAACTGTGCAAACATCGCCGATCTTGCTGTCATGCTGAAAATTGCACGCAAAATTGTATGTTCCAGTTGTTGCTTCTTGTAAGAATCAGATCTTCTTCAGAAGCAGCTAGTAAGTCACATACGTAAGATAAGTCGCATACGTAAGATAGTAGTATTGGCCTTATTCTTCGGAAAAACCAGGAGAGTGGAGATATACTTAGGTTGATATTTCGGCAACACGCTTTTCTAGAAACAATAGCAGAAGTGCTATTCTATTCTTTTCATATTGTTTCGAGAAAGGCACGTTACCGAAATATCAACCTAACTGTGCCGCCATTCTCCTGCTTTTTCCGAGGAATAAGGCTAATACTATTGTCTTATCTATGATATAAAGTCACTAGAATCCCCAAAGGTCTAGGATGGAAAAAGCATGAGAGTACCTCTAAACTTCCTGGGAAAAAGCTCTCTCACCAATGCCATTTGTTCTGTCCGAACCTAAACTAGGCCTGGCTTCCGTAATACTATTCGATACATCCTTTAAAAAGTCACCTTCAGTGCCTCACCAGCTGTCACTTGTATCACAGAGTTCTGGGATCTCAAGGCGTTGCCCTACTTTGTGATTGGCTTAGCTGACGGTCGTACGATGTCGTACTCGCTTGTCATTGGTTCACTATCACATCATTTCTGTACCCTATGACCATGAATCATTTCCGAGGCGCATAGTATTAAAGCCGTGTCATTGGTGACATGTAGATTCATATTCTCTCCCTGGGATCAAAGACGCGAGACCGCTGTTGGTTGTGTGAGCGGACGCTGTGGTGTGAGTATTGGTGCGTGTGCGTGTTGTCTGTGGTGTGAGTTGTGTGTGTGTGTGTGTGTGTGTGTGTGTGTGTGTGTGTGTGTGTGTGTGTGTGTGTGCGTGTGTGTGTGTGTGTGTGTGTGTGTGTGTGCGTGTGCGTGTGCGTGTGCGTGTGTGTGTGTCATTGGGGCTTTACGACGCACTCAGCTGTTTGAGGCTATATGGCGTCGCCTGCCTCGCACCCTGGCAGGAAGGGCGGGCACCGCGGGGAATCGAATCCCGTACCTCTAGTTTCCCATACGCGCAGTAGTTAACGCAGACGCGTTAACCACTACACTACCGGCACCCTGTGGTGTGAGTTGGTGGTGCGTGTTGGTGTGTGTACCTGACTGCAAAACAGGAACTGTAGTTTGACAAGATCTATTTTTGTTGGACTCGCGGGAAGGGTTGGCACGAGCAAAGTCTACACGAGTACAACTATCACGCAAGCAGTCAGATATCTGCCACAGCAGGTTTAGACCCTGGACCGCAGAATGTGGCCGGTTAGAATGTGAAGGTTCACGGCATTTCCGCACTGGCTCATTGTTTAAATGAGGCTGTGATATAAGAGGCCGCCACAGAATTTACCATCTACCAACATGTGTGCTCGTGTATTTGTCGTCTTTTGCGTGTTGACCTGTGCGCAGGCTGAACAGAGGGCAATAAGAGCCTGATATTTGCACAGCGCGCATGTACGAGCTTGACGTACGGCCTAACGACTGGACGTGTGCATTGGTGGGCGCTTGGCGCTCATCGGAAGGTCCCTTTCTAAACCCACTGGGATACCATTAGCTGTCTACGTGATGGAAGGACATAAGCGGTAGCCAAGTCCCATTGTATTTAAAGTCTTAGTAAGCATGTCAAACAGATATGCTCTTTGTTGCGAGAGCAATGATAGCTCTTGAGATTCCCATTTGCAGGAGAACGCCGATTCACTTGAATAGCACCAATGCACGAAATTTTGGATTGCAGATCGAAGACGATCGTGGGTGGGGGAGTACATGGTTGAGTAGCTTACAAAGCAATACTGGACGCTATCAGAGATGCCGCGGCAGTGACTATTCGGCAAACTGTAAACTGTATACCAAGACAGGAACTTACCGCTACCGAAGAATTGCGGCGGTGTTGAGATAGTTAGGGATACAACGCCGGAGGTGGAGGCAACATGACTGGCTTGGCATTTCCATCATATAGAGAAGCCGTGGTGATAGCCAACCGCTACCCCAGCGGAAGCCGCTGGTTGAGCGTTACCAGGGTTGATTTGCGCGTCGTAGAATATAACGAAACGAGCGCCTTTAAACGCTAGCGCTCGTTTGCTTTGGCAGCACATTCCAAAACTTGTGATGAAGAATGCACTTCACAAATTTTGGGATGCTCCTGTTTCGTTTTTCGGAACCTCCTGAACCGCCCCTGCCATTCTAATGTGTTGCATTTTATTATGTAGTTTTGTATTGCACTATTGCATGTTGTAACATTGCGTCCCTTGTGTCCGAGGAAAATAACAGCTATTGCTGTAAACGCCAGGCGGTGTGCGTACCCGGGGCAAGGGGAGTATTGTAGTTGGAATATATTCTCAACTATAATAATCCCCTTAACATACTTACCAATCAGCGACGTGAACATCAAAGTTACACTTGCGGTGAAGTCGTGGGACACATATGGCGTAACGTGCTGGAACGCCGTCCAGAGATAAGGGTCCCAGTCCCGCTAGTTGGGCTAAATCTTCTGCACCATCTGGCGAACAATATCGTCAGTCTACAAAGCGAGCATACAGCTCTAGGGCATGGAAGCTGGAGTAGCTACATAACGGCGTATTTTCAGAGGCAGAGAAACGCGTTTGCGGAGGCGATCCTAAGATACTGCTGGCATTCTCCGCCGCAGGTGTCAGGGAATTAACGTTATGTCTTTATTGCAGATACCAGACAGATTCCGTCAGTTATCACCAAATTCAACTTTTGAGCGCACGCTTCAGGTCAAAATGTTCCGGAGCCTAGTCATGACCGTGCGAACCGCATGTCCTGCACAAATATATGACGCATGATTGACCAACAAGCAAGTAAAAATATCCGAACATGTTTCATGCTAACATTTCCGCACAGCACTGATAGGCTAAGTTAGCAGTGATACACTCTTCTTGATTTCAGTGCAGCCCCGGGGTCGGGGTGGATGCTTTCTTCCACGCGCTGCACACTCGCCAGTCAAGCAAGATGATCGCACTGCTAGGCACCGGCTGCTCAGAGGTGACCGAGCAGCTGGCCCAGATCGTGCCCTACTGGAACATACTGCAGGTCAGTAGCACGGCAGCCGAGGCGTCATGGTCTGGTGACGTCGTCGTACCTTGCACAACGTTGGTTGGAAGCCTACATTTCATTTGGGTTTGATCACCGCATGGCTTATGGAATGGCGGGATTTCAATGACGTCGTTGTGACGTCATGAATGCCAAAGTGACTTGAAATACTTTCCCTGATGTACATTTCCCCATTGTCGTGGGCGTGTAGCTCAGAACCTAGAGGAGCTTAGATCTGAAGAAGGCAGGATTGTGAACAGCACCAAAAGGTCTTCAGGGTGGATATTTCTGTTGAAAACCCATATCAATATGGAACACTTTCTTTAAGAAGAGTGTTTCACATGTGCATGGGGGTTTTTCTGGCTGTTCAGCTGAAAGTGCCATCTAGTTTAACCATCCCGTAGTTTGATGAAAAACTAGCAGCTAAATCCGTTTCGGCTTACTCTTTCCAATATTAGTTGGTGTCGGTAGCTAAGAAAGAAAAGATTCAAGAGAAATTGCCTGATTTCTGCCGTAAGCACACCAGATTGTGCCTCTGTGAATTGCGCCCCCTTCCACTAGATCAGCCCCAAATGTCCATTTACGGAGATTTTCGTGTGCCTACTCAACAGCTGAATGTGCTTCTAATAACACGCAATGTCTGCTTTCTTGTGCCCACTGAGGTAAACACATCATGTCGCAGCAGACATCGAACCCCGTGCTTGGTCTGGTCCGAAGAACATCGACGTTGATTGAAACAATTTAAACATTTCACAACGTTGGGCTAGAAATCCTGTACAACAAAGTTTTGTCCAGTGCTCCTTTCCAAGTACTTGTCAACCTGTGACTTCATAATCCTGCTGGTCTACTGGCACGTAAAAGTAATGCAATAAGCACACCAACACTGCGTAGGTCTACTCTTTCGCGCCATGTAACACTTGGGTAGTGTCATCACAGGACAGATACAAATGACGCAGCTCAAATAAACCATTGGTGGCTGAATGAAATGTCATAACGAAGAGCAATTTGTGCCACCATAAAGCTAATTGTCCTCTTTGTGTGGAAAGCCAGAACGTTACATCTTGCAAAATTAGTTCGAAAGACGCATCACTCACCTAAATAACTCCATGCCCGTGCTTTGATTTCGCACCCGTAACTACCCTTGAGTGTGTAAAACGAAACTTGCACGGCACCGATGTAAAGAAGATGATAAGCGTGCCGTCACACCGTGGGCGTCCCCACTGCCGACCCTGTCAGTCAGTCGAGCCCACCCCCCCCCCCCCCCCCCCCCCCGGTTCGAATCTTCTAGACGCGCTGACAGTCTACATCTGCAGGAGTAACGCCCCAATTGAGAGCGCCCCGACAGCGCAGCGCGCCAACTGCCAGCGCACCAGCGGCTGATGGCTGATGGCTGATGGCTGATGGCTGATGGCTGATGGCCGATGGCTGCGAACGGCCTTAGTGACATCCCCGGTCGCCGATGGCTGCAGAGCGCCAAACGCGGCGGTAGATGCCCAATGATCGCATTAATCCGCCCTTCGGACATGCGATTGTATTAGCAAGGGGCAGAGTGCTGGCCCCGGCAGACATCAAAGGCCGGCATCTCGCCTCGGGCCGTCCGACTGACCTCCGCTGACCTCCGCTGACCTCTGCCGGGCGCGAGGCGAGTGGTCGCCCCCTGAAGCTGGAGGCTCTTGGCGTTAACCAGCAGGGGGCGGTGTGCGCTCCCCGGTCGAACATGTCCAGCTGGATGATCCAAAGCAACTTCCCCTAAGTCATCCCTCACGCCGTGAGATACTCCATCTCATAAAAAACAGCCATACTGGAACGGGCAATAATAAAATTCATGAATTTCCGTGTCTTTCGACTAGCAAAGTGCCAAGGCGTATCATTCGTCACTCTGACGTCATTCACAACGCAAAAGACATAGCCTCTAGACAGGCCAGTATTCAGCTCGCTGAAAACGCAGTGCTACGTGGAGAAAAACGCCTGGATAATGTGTCAGCCTGAGAGCGCATTCCATCCGCGGGTTCGTTGCCCTGCGAGGAATTTGTGGACAAAGAGAGCCAACCCGGCGGACGTAATCATGAGCTTCAAAACAGCACGAATGTAGTCACCCGACGGAACTTTTTGGACGATGAAGGCTATAGGAGTCTTCCATGGTCACAACGTGTCGTCTCCAAAGTTAGCAAACAACAAGAAGCAATGCCGGACCGTCGACCACCCCCCCCCCCTCCCCCCCCCCCCTCTCCTCGCCGCTAGCGCTCAGGCAGCGATCAGCGAACAGGTTCTTCCGCTGAATCTACCAAGGGTGCCCGGTGGGATGACTTCATCCCAACGCAACAATGGAGAGGGTATCCAAAGGCAGAGAACATACCGATACAAAAGCGTGTAAGGGCGTGTAAAGCTCAGAACGCAAAAGTCCGGTCTCGGGCTGATGAGAATCAAAGTTGGTTTCAAATAGAAAGAAAGGAGAAAAGGTGTGCCATGGGGAAAGCCATCAATTGTCAGGCGGCAAAAGCGAAAGTAGGTGTCGAAGACTGTCTGAAAGTGACAAGAAAGCTAAATAGTTGCCCAGCTCACGCAATAAGATGTGCAGTATAATTTATGGAATATGGCTTAACGACTCTGCAGAGGGGCGGGAAAGGGTGGGGCGTATTCAGTTCCAAGCGTGCAAACCTCGGTCCTGCGTACCCTGCATGAATTCTAAAGGACACCTGGCACACATCTGCGACTTCTATCGTGACGATCAGGAGACGGCAAACTTGGGGATGGCGCGTCGGGCTCGTTTTGGCGATCCGTTTTCACACGCCGATCGAGTGGAAGTGCCCTGCCCATGTCCGGAAGGAACGCAAATGCAATGTGCATACAGCCACATGCGACTTTGGCAAGACAACCAAAACAGCTAAACGTCAGTAAGGCCTCAAAGGTTCAGTTTGGTGATCTTGTTGCCGCAGCGGCTAGATAATTTCGGATCACGCGGAATGACGTCGTCAGGCGCTGAACTGCGGCCGCGACTCCTGAGGCATACACGCGCAGCTGTGTGTCTCTTAACCGCGGCTGCGGCTCCTGAGGCCTACACACGCAGCTGTGTGTCCCTTAACTGCAGCTGCGGCTCCTGAGGCCTACACACGCAGCTGTGTGTCTCTTAACCGCGGCTGCGGCTCCTGAGGCCTACACACGCAGCTGTGTGTCCCTTAACTGCAGCTGCGGCTCCTGAGGCCTACACACGCAGCTGTGTGTCTCTTAACCGCGGCTGCGGCTCCTGAGGCCTACACACGCAGCTGTGTGTCCCTTAACTGCAGCTGCGGCTCCTGAGGCCTATACACGCAGCTGTGTGTCTCTTAACCGCGGCTGCGGCTCCTGAGGCCTACACACGCAGCTGTGTGTCCCTTAACTGCAGCTGCGGCTCCTGAGGCCTACACACGCAGCTGTGTGTCTCTTAACTGCAGCTGCGGCTCCTGAGGCCTACACACGCAGCTGTGTGTCTCTTAACTGCAGCTGCGGCTCCTGGGGCCTGCACACGCAGTTGTGTGTCTCTTAACTGCAGCTGCGGCTCCTGAGGCCTACACACGCAGCTGTGTGTCTCTTAACCACGGCTGCGGCTCCTGGGGCCTACACGGGCAGCTGTGTGTCTCTTAACCGCGGCTGCGGCTCCTGAGGCCTACACACGCAGCTGTGTGTCCCTTAACTGCAGCTGCGGCTCCTGAGGCCTACACACGCAGCTGTGTGTCTCTTAACTGCAGCTGCGGCTCCTGAGGCCTACACACGCAGCTGTGTGTCTCTTAACTGCAGCTGCGGCTCCTGGGGCCTGCACACGCAGTTGTGTGTCCCTTAACTGCAGCTGCGGCCCCTGGGGTCTGCACACGCAGCGCCTCTGGTGGATAGATTTACGGACTCAGCCGACCTTGATTTGTTGTTTGTTGGACGCAAATGGCGGCAGCGGCAAGAAAATAATCAAACGACTAAGGCAAACAGCACCCGTGCCCCGCCCCAGGACTTTGCTATTTCCTCCCTCTTGGTTCAGTGCTAGCAATCACAAAGCTGGCTTGAACTTTCGAGCCAGCCGGCTTTCGGCCTTTGCCAAAGCTGGGGACATTGCCGTTTGCCTGGTCTCCCTACACGGTCTTCACCATGTATTTTCCGCACATGCCTCAACTGTGCTCTCTCCAGCCTCCCCTATGTATTTTCCGCACATGTCTCAACTGTGCTCTCTCCAGCCTACCCTAAACTAACAGCTTTTTAAGAAGCCTTCCAAAACAGCTTTGAAATGCTGATAAGTAATACTTATTTGATAGCGATTGGAAGTTAATGTATAACTAAATGACAGTGGAATTCCATTCATTATTCACATTGCTTCCATTCACAGTCTCAAAATATTTTTCTTCAAAAATGGCGTCTCAATTGTGTCTTATGTTTCTCTGGCTGTGACGCATCTAAAGGGAGGGGAGTGGATACAATGGGCGACTGTCCACAACAAAGAAAAGTCATGCAAGAAAAACTATTATTTCCCCTGCAAAGTGCCACCCAAATGCTGGAATCAACTTTGTCAAAAGTGCATGTTTTCTTTTTTACGGACGCCTTTGTTTTCAAATGATTGTTTCATTTGTTTCAGCATTGGTCAATAATCCACACTGATTGGTCAGTGGTGCATAGTGATTAAATCCAAATTTGTAATCCGCAGTCTGTATCTAATAATCTGTTGTCCTGACTGAGACACGTTCGCGCTATGTTAAGCTTACTGCTGTGTCCGAGGTAGTTACTCTCGCACGTTACGCGAGTGTTTTAAGAGCCGCTTTTGCATTGGTGTTTGTAAGACACGTCTTATTATGTTGACACCTGCCTCCCTAGTCGCCCCAAATGCTTCCCGTGTCGTGAAACTTTTTTAAACCAAGTAAACTATGAACATGCAAGGATGCACTCAACGGATTTTGTTATTCTGTGATAGCTGAAATACCCATGCAAATCATTTTTATACACGAACTGAGAGCAAGGGCGCCTTTATTTTGCGGCATCTAAACTAAATGAATTATTATCATAATGCTGTACAGCAACCTCAAGCCAAAATTTTGGCATTTTACTTCGCATTCAAATCCGTCTCACCAACCCCAGCGCCATTTCAAACACAATTTTAAGATCACGATGATTCATCGAGGGGAACAGATTAAAGATCACTGACATGTCAGCTGTGTGAATCGGTTAATACTTCCTGAAGAGTTCAGACTGTAAAAATCATCAAAACCCCCGACACGATTCAAAGGGCGCCCTGCTGAAGAGGCGGACCCGATAGTCACTCCGCCGTCTCCGAGATGTGCATCCCCGCAAAGTGAGGACCGGACAGTCCTTCAGCCTTAGACATGGAAGGTCGGAACAGGCCCTGCGGTTGTAAATTAAATGATGTCCACAACTGTATGATTTATCGACGAGAACACGGTGCTCGGACAGGCCCCCCTTTTGCCCGGGGCCGGCTCAGCGGACAAGAGAACCAATTGCGGACAACCGAACTCACGACTTGTTGCTGAGAAAACCAATGGATTATGAAAGGTCGCAGCTTGATGCGTCATCAGATGTTCCGAAACCATCGGACCGCTTTGGTTTCAGAACGTGCGTCGCCCTCAGTTCCGAGGCAAGACATTTTGAGGAGAAACAAGCCAGACGGCCGAGGTATAGGCGGATGGGGGGTGGGTGGCTGGGGGGGGGGGGGGCTAGGTGAAGGATGGGGGCCGCAGTCATTATTCCAAGCCTTTGTAGAGAAGCAAGTATCAAGTTTGCAATAGATGCCTTTAGTTCGCTTTCTCCTGGTGCGCAATGCTATCTGCCCATTCGTCCGTACCACGCATTAAAAAGGAAACCCAGTTTCGCGCTATGTTAGTTCCCAGCATCGTTTTCGTTGGAAAGACAGAATTCTAGGGCTGGAGGCGGTTTGAACCGAACGGCTGGGAAATTACTTGCCTTTTCACTCAGCATCTTGCAGTATGGCTCAGTCCGAGGTACGTCCTGAGGCAAAAATTCTGAAACGACCTTCAGCGAAACTGCATCGGCAACACGCATAGCCAGAGACTTAATCAGGTTATTGCTGCTTCCCTCCCCCTCCCACACACGCACATACGCACGCACGCGCGCACGCACGCACGCACGCACGCACGTACATGAGACATGCGGTGTTGCTGTGGATGAAATGCCATTTGTTGCGCGGAAGTTATGTCGCCTGAGGCCGTCCGCGAGTCGGTGGCGCACTCCCGTGAGGCAAGTCCGTCAGTCATCTTCCTGTAGGAACGCCTGAAAAGGCTGGCGTGTCTCGATGACTTCCGAATTATCCCGCATATTAAAGGGTCCATCATGACAGTGCGCAGCGGCGCGGGAGATAGCGCCGAGACGTGCGGAGGAGCGGCCCGGTCCGTCTCGACACGACCAGCCGTCCTTCGCCTGATACACCGTTCTTCCCACCGCTTATAATATCGGGCACGCGGCGTGAGGGATGTGATGTGTCACTTTGGTGGAAGATGGATGATGCGTATAAGATTAGGCTGTTTTGACTACGATTTCATGCATCTGCTTTCTGATGGCAACAACATTTTGCATCCATTGGAGCTAGAATTAGCTCATGCATTTTACCATTAGGATTAACACACATGATAGTCACTAGGTCTGCGTTTATTACGTGACATATCCAGTTTTATTGTGACTGCCCCCCCCCCAAGTTATGAAATTAATCATGAAAACAAGCACTGCAGAGTTGGGAATGGCTGAGTAGCCTTTAGCCCGGCATCAAAACAGTGGAAGTCGGGTACGACAAGGTGTTTAGCTGTGTTGAATTATCCACTCGCTCAACAGCTGGAAATATGAGCCAACACGTTGAGAGACATTGTGGCGGTCCCTTTGCTGTGAGGAGAGAAAAAGCATCACTGCTTTTCTCAGCGTTGGCACACCTGTCATGTGAAGAAAACATGAATCATTTTTTCGTTCCATCTAAATCCTATGGTAATTTGGAGAACATCCACACAAAATGAATTCATGAGACACATGTATCAATGGAAATAAGTATTAGTTACTTACTTAGTTATAAGTATTAGTGGGTATATATATATATATATATATATATATATATATACATATATATATATATATATATAAGTACAAGTATAAGTATATATGGCCATGCCGGCATAAACAAAATCGACGAATTATCGTGTCGGCACCTGAAGATGTTTCTCTGCTTGCGGAATCTTTCATGTCAGCTTATTTCAGAACTGGAACGGCGTTTTTAACTGCCTCACGGTACTCAAAGTTTTACCATCACTTCTTTTGGGTCCCGTGCTGGCCAAACTGGAAATCGTTGTCTCGTTTTGCCGTGAAGAGCGTTTCCTATCATCGGGGAAACGGTGCCGGTGGTGGGCCATAACCTGACCGGTGAACTTGAGTTGCTGATTGTTCGCGGTCCGCCGTTTGTTAAAGTTTTGGAATCTCAGCAATTTCACTAGTCGCCACGCAGTCACCAGTGAAACAAACACTTCTTATAGAGTCAGAACTGTTGTTACTGCGGTTGACTTGTGTTTGTTGTGTTCTGAACATGTCTTTGTTGATGCCCGCAGTGTTATTAATCCTTGTAACTTTTCATCGCGTTATGACAGATGACCTGATTGAACGACATTTTCGTGAGCAGCATGAAATGACACGTAATTTTTTTGAGGCTGTGTTTGTATTGGTAAACGCCTAATGAAGCACATTGATTTGTCCTTAACGTTTGCTTCGCTGCCAGCAAGCCTCGTGACACTAGAGAGGAAATAAATTTGATGTTTTTACACAACACCTATTTCCTGGCAAGGACATTATCCCTAAAGCGCATTCTCAGTAAGCTGAAGCGAAGGGTTTTGTGGAACATCAAAGTGAATCACACTTCGTCGTCAGCTCGCACGTAACATGTCACTACGCACAAGCATATGTCTGCATCCAGTGTCGTTATAGGTGGTGGAAATGTTTTCTAGTTATTATTATGGCGTGGTCCAATTGGGAAGTTTTTTAATGACATTCCAGCAACGTTTTGCAGATAAGAGATTTGTAAGCAGGTTCTTCAGCATATTAGAATTTGTCCTAGAAGTCTTTCATTTTGTCAGCAAATTTTATGAGCGTTTGCTCCAATTGTGTTCGCGCTCTTGTCAATCATGAAAGGTTTTAGAAACTTTACTTTAAACCATAGTGTGCAGTTTCGGATGCATCGATTATGACACTTTGATTGGAAAATTGTGCCAGGTAGCTAGCCAAATTTTGGAAACTAGCAACTGCGCTCATGTTCTTACTTTTTAAGGTTCAAACTCGTATCCATATCCCATCCAAACTATTCCCAAACTTGGTACCCATTGCACGGATTCACCCTTATGGTTTGAGCACCCGCGGTTTCACCAGGCTAATGAAAGCCTCTAGTTCAATAGCCCGTGCCACCCCTCATGACCAGGTTGTTCATGTTTTTGCTGACAGATGTCGTTCGGCTCTTTCTCACCGGCGCTCAGCGACCGTACATCATTCCCTCTGTTCTTCCGCACGTCTCCGCCAGAGTCGGCCCACAACCCTGCACGACTGGCCTTCGTAGCGTACCACAAGTGGGACGCTGTCGCAACTCTCAGCCAAAACTCGGACGAACATACGCTGGTGAGTTCCTAAACGTTCGCCAACTTTTTGGTGCTGCGAACATGGTTTATCTCAGGTAAGACACGCGACCCACCTCAGCCATTAAACTTAAATGTTTCCATCACCCAGAGCGGACTTTAAGATGCACGTGCATAATAACGTGCTCAGAGACCTCTGTGTACTCAAGGTCTCTCATGGGGTGTTTTGGTTGCCTGGGCCACTTCTGCTCACTGTCGGCCTGGCTGACTTTTGAGGGGCTCGAAGTCGGCAGCGTTTCCCATCACTGCTCAGAGGCATCACTAGCCAGCCGGTGCCACTACGGGCACCAATGGGCACCTCTGATTGCTGAGGGGCCCTCCTGGCCATCTAAGTTCTCATCTGGTTACTCAGGACTTCTGACACGTTTGCCGGCCCGTTTGGTTCCCCAGTCCTTTAACAGTGCAATGGCTGCCTTCCAGACGCTCGGAATATTGCTAGCTACTCTAGGCGCTTTTGACCGCTCCTACTGCCCACGAGTCCTTCTGGCTGCTTGTGGGTCCTTCTGATTGATCGAAGGCCGCCCCGAGCGCTCAGCGGCCCTCTGGACGCGTAGTGGTCGAAATAAACGTGCAAGGCTTTCTTTTTGGCCCCCCTTTTAGATCCTGAACAGCCCGTATAGCCGATGATGGGCCCCATGGCCACCAAGGGGCCCTCCGGCCACTTGCATGCACCGAAAGCGGCTCAGGGGCCATTGGCTGCTCAGGGTATGGCCGGAGATCCCGTGGCGGCTAGGGATCCCACCACTAGGCCGCGGAACACCTCCTGGACCTCATGTTTCCATGTCTTGAACCTAGGGCTCCGAGGACTCCCAAACGAGGCTCAGGGAATCCAAAGAGGGGTCCGTTATGCTGTGTAGTTGCCCGGCAGGCCAATGTGGAAGCGGCGTCTTATGCAGAGGTGTGTTCACACCAAACCCCAGGAGTACACTGGTGCACCTCTCTGCGTCAAACACGCAACTTTCCACTTGGGAGTGAAGCGACCAATCGAGAATAAGCTACCGTAGTGCCCACTGGGCAACAGCCAATTGCATGACAGGGTCGGATTGGTCACTGAAGGGCCAGACGCCGCGGCGGTGGGTCACGCCCCGATCACGTGACACGGGTCACCGGGGCCCCGTTCTTGATGTGAAAATGCTGCCAGATGCTTCGCCTCTTCAGGTAACGACCTATGGCGTTTCACAGCTACGTCATCTACGTGATGGAAAGCTCTTCAAGTAAATACCAAAGGTGGTGGCTGGCAAAATCAGCTGTTTCCCAACAAACACATTTGACGCGCAGCAGATATAATATTGACGAATCGGGACAGTCAAATGCAAATATTTCAGAGGTGTCTTTTTTCACTACAGCCGCCTATACCATAACGACTCATCTTAACGAAAAATTGTAGCCGGTTTAAGGCAGATCATCGCCCTCGATTCAGAAAGATGTTACATTAACTGAGGCGTTGCGCGACTTATGTTGCAGGACAGATGATATGTATGCATATTGACTCGCGCGATTTATGTTGCAGGACCCAGAAAGTGACCAACACAGAGGTTCACATGCCAACATAGCGGTTCTGGCTCTGCCAAAGCGCCAACGTCGCGTAAACAGAACAGAACATTATGTACACGACGCGGTTCCAGGATATTGTGACTAAGATTTGAAATCGCAGTTTCCCATCTCGCGCTAAGTTTTTTTTTAATTTCCGGGTTAAGCTGGCTCATTACATCAAGTATGGCCAGCGCAGCAGCAACCGGAAGCGTCCGCTGGAAGGTGTGATGCCTGGGCTGCAATACCTTGCCGAGCCGGTGCCCCACCACTCCCTTGGCGACAAGTTTGGAACTTCAAAATCTGGGTCACACTAGTACCTGACAATATTTTGCAAACATATTACTACCGCGCGGTGACGCCATCGCGTGACCAGTAGGAGCGCGGCTGCATCAAACCGTCGCAGGCTTTGCAGCGTGTGCCAGGGTGTGGTTGGGGCTATCGACTGGTCCTTTATGTTCATGTATGCACCCAGCAAGGAGATAGCGGCTGCTCATAATAAGCATAACCATCGCAAAGCAGTACATCTACTGGCTGCTTGCGATCACCGCGGCGCACTCACTGGTGTACTTGAAGGGTTCCTGGGATCCGCCCACGATTTTCGCTTTTTTTTAGAAGGCCCCCTCCGCTGCGACCTCAGGTAGCATCGGCGGCAGCATCTCCCATCTAACGCACACCTCATCGAGGACAGAAGCTTCCCCTTTCCCGGAGATCATCGCCCCTTCCTGAGACAACGATCACCTCATCCTCACCCAGCGCCACTTCAACATGACCATACAAAAAACACGTGTCAAAATTGAACATGCTTTCAGCATGCCGAAAGCGAACTGCAGCAACTAAAACATTTATAAGTGAACAACATGGGCAATGTGGCTGAGGTCATCATTGCATTGATCATTGCACCATGCATCAATCGCTGCATTGTGCATCATGAGCACTGTGTAGGGGATGACGCGGCGCCTGCAGAGCCCCACGAGGCAGATTCCGTGGAATGGACCGACGTAAGTGCGCTGCTGATTTCGGTTCAATGCATTTGAGATAATGACAGTCCATAGCTTGATGTGTACAGAACAGATTACCTCAAAATTATGCATATGGCCTTTATCTTCAATAACAATGTTCAACTATGACAATTTTATACTTCTGTCTTGCACTTCCACATGCTTCAATACCACTAGCAATCAATCAATGCAATTCACTTCACATCCCGGCACCTATTAATAGGGTATGCTGAATTGCATACCGGTGCGTAATCTGTTCACATTAATTTTAGGCAATGTCACCGTGACAGACTGTTCAACATTGGAGTTCCAAAATTCCACCATCTCCATGTTGTTCACAATCTGTCAGGAATGTTGCAGGTCAGTGAAGAAGTGATATAGAAAAAAATGCAACCATACCGATAATACAATTTGCATGCCAATAACAGTCATGCTTACAGGTCGCACAACAGCAAGTTTGTACAGTGTAGCTATAATTATTAACAAGTTAACCTATTCCAACGCATGCCAATGCTGTCTGGTTAACCAGAATAACAAATCAGACCATGAAACAAACCAGCTTGCATTCGAGGCATGCTTTCATTTATTTAATGCAGTAGAACCTGGGCAAAGGGGCTACCTAGCAACTCATGTAGGTGTACATTTGTGATTCAATGATGAAGTAGGCAATGATGGCTGACACATTAGTGTACCTACTGCGCCTCGGCCAGTTATTCCGTGACCTTCAATCCCTGACGACATATCATTAAGGGAAAGCAAATTATGCTGACTAGTGCATTTTTCAGCCAACAGTTGAAACTACTGTTTGGCAATAGCGTAACTTATGAATAGCAGATCCAGCGTGCTCGAAGAAACCCTCCATATTCAACGCACCCCAGCCGCAAATGCGTCATGGGTGTTGCTATGCGTTGCTATGTAAATAACCACTAGCTACCGCACTTACTTTGCCTCTCGGCCAAGTAGGGACTGGACTTGGGCCGTGACGTCATAGGTAAGTCGGTAGCTACGTCATACATGAACTGGGCGTACTCGAAGTTCGGAATGGGCTTCCATGTGGTCATGAAGAACGGGGCCCGGAAGGCGGATGGGCTGGACCGCCAGGCCGGCCGGACGCGCCCACAGCACGGTGGGTCCAGGCTGCTCGATGCAACAGCTTCTTACGAGATGCGCAGCGCGAGAACAAAATAACTTATTAAACAAAAAGGCTAAAATAAGGTTTCGTCTTTAAAATGGACCTTGACATAGTACCATAGCCCCTCTAGCTGTTCGAAAGGCTCCGTCGGCTCCCCCTCTGACCACTCAGGGCTCTCAGGGCTCAGGGCTCAGGGCTCAGAGCTCTCGGGGCTCAGGGCTCAGGGCTCAGGACTCTCAGGGCTCAGGGCTCAGGGCTCAGGGCTCAGGACTCTCAGGGCTCAGGGCTCAGGACTCAGGGCTCAGGGCTCAAGGCTCAGAGCTCTCGGGGCTCAGGGCTCAGGGCTCAGGACTCAGGACTCAGGGCTCAGGGCTCAAGGCTCAGAGCTCTCGGGGCTCAGGGCTCAGGGCTCAGGGCTCAGGACTCTCAGGGCTCAGGGCTCAGGACTCAGGGCTCAGGGCTCAGGGCTCAGGGCTCAGGGCTCAGGGCTCAGGGCTCAGGGCTCAGGGCTCAGGGCTCAGGACTCAGGGCTCAGGACTCAGGGCTCAGGACTCAGGGCTCAGGGCTCAGGACTCAGGGCTCAGGACTCAGGGCTCAGGGCTCAGGGCTCAGGGCTCAGGACTCAGGGCTCAGGGCTCAGGGCTCAGGACTCAGGGCTCAGGACTCAGGGCTCAGGACTCAGGGCTCAGGACTCAGGGCTCAGGGCTCAGGGCTCAGGGCTCAGGGCTCAGGACTCTCAGGGCTCAGGGCTCAGGACTCAGGGCTCAGGGCTCAAGGCTCAGAGCTCTCGGGGCTCAGGGCTCAGGGCTCAGGACTCAGGACTCAGGGCTCAGAGCTCTCAGGGCTCAGGACTCAGGCCTCAGGACTCTCAGGGCTCAGGGCTCAGGGCTCAGGGCTCAGGGCTCTCAAGGCTCAGGGCTCAGGGCTCGGGCCGTCAGGTATCTGCGAAACGGCATAGACTTGCCTCGTGCCTTTAGGTCCAATTTAACCCTGGCTGAAATACATGACGACTACAAGACTGGTGCCCTGCATCGACCAGGAGAATCTAGGCACGGTCACACGGAACACTGAGGTGCCACTTGCCGTTTGGAAATGCTAATGATACCCTTAGGCGGCCCAACTCTGGTCTGAATAGCTTGAAGTTGGTCTCGAATGTTGCTTTTCAAAACAGTGCCGCTGATAATCACGTCTTTATTCAAATTTCCGCGCACCCTCGGCGCGGATTTTTTGTGATTTCCTGTGGGTTCTGTTAGAAAGATTAATGCACCCGTAGACGATTTAATTCCAGTCTGAGTAGCATAGTGATGAGAGAAATACAAA